CCTTCCTCCCTGCCTTAGCTGGACTCCCAAAATTCCTACCTCTTCCCCCTCAGCACCACAACAGGGTGCTGAGTATGGCCCCCCCCACTACTAAAACTTGGCCCCACAGGCCTCAACGACAGCCAGAGGCAAAAGATGATGGAATAGTTGTTATTCCTTTGAAAGGTTCTTCCTGATTCACCCCATGATCCCTTGAAAGACAGCCCTTGATTTATTCCACTGCACTTCAAGTTTTGTACAAAACTTTTTCCCCCAGCAACATGGGCTATGCTACATAAAAAAGGGAAAAAATAACAATGTATTTGCACCAGGGATTTACTGCCTTTTCCTTAAACATCTGGTCTCAAGTCAGGAATTAACCCTTCTCCAGGAAGTCACTGAAGCTCATGGAATTATCCATACTATGAAAGGCAATCCATGTGCATTGGAGCCTTCACAGCTCCTGCTTTGAGGGACTGAAAGGTTCAACAATGGCATCTCCCACCAACAAGGCCAAATGGGGAATTATTCCCAAGAGCCGAGTCCCTTCCAAAAAGAAAGGAGCACTCAAAGGAAAGAAAAAAAAAATGGAATATGAGGTGTTACCTGATATCTTCAGAGAGAAGAGAACAGTCACTGGCTTGGTAGCTATAAACAACAGAGCCACAGAACTCCAGGAATGGCAGCCCATCCTCCAGAACACTCCTCTGGGCACCAGGCTTCTGGCAAACAAAATTTGGCAGAGATCTGGTTATCCACCACACCTGTCCTCACCAGGAACATCCATCCCAGCCAGGCTCACACACCACTCGGCCCTTATCAAAACATTTGGGTTCCTGCCCCAACTTCTCTACTGAACTCTGAGCACTCAGTGAACAAAAAAATTAAAAGTTATTGTTGTTTTACCTGATGATTTCTAATATCCAAGCTACTAACCATTTACCAATCAACTAATCATTTACTCCCACTTTGTGGAAAAAAAAGCTGCTGAACAGAATCCTCTGCTTTTCCCCCTCATGAATTAATTTTCTAACTATTGAAGCTGTTTTAGGTGTTACAGGGATGGTCTCTTCTCATTTGGGACAGCAGGCATTTTTGTACTGAACTGCTCATACACACAGATAAAGCCCAAAAAACAAGGACACAGTAACACTTAAGGGACATCAAAACCCGACAAACAATTATTAACATCGACAATGAATTATTAACAATTAATTCAGCTGATGCATCTGAGCTGCAAACCATCCTGGAATACTTAACACGTGAAAGACACCAGAAGGGTCTTGCCAGAACCAGCTCCCCTGCCAGGCCACAACTGGAAGTCTCAAATTAAACGGATGAGAAATTCCCCATCCTTGCTGATGTAGAAGTCACACTCCTGGGTGAGCAGCAGGAACACCAAAATTCCCTTCTGAGAGGCAGAAGCCTAACTAAAAGCACATTCTCCAGAGCTGGATTATTCTGCAGCCTGCAAAGCACCCCAGAGCCATGACCTACCTTTTTGTGGCCCAAAGAAGTTTCCTCCTGACTCTCTGTAAGCATCCACTGGGGATACTTATCCTGCAGGCCAGCAGTTACCACATCCATTTTTGGCACATTTCTGTTGCTTCCATGTTAATAAAAAAAAAAGGAACAAGAAATTAGAGCAGTCAGCAGCTCACGTGGAGAAGAGCCATGGCTACCATCAAGCCTGAACAGAGTTATGGAAAGTTTTTAATTTTCTAATATATTTCCAAGGCTAAGCAGACTTCTCCCCTGGTGTGCAGCAGCACAACCAACTGCTCCCTCCGTTTCAACTCCAAAAAGGATTTTAACGCTAAAACAGAGACATGGTTACAGCTCTCCTTTACAGCCACTCGGTTCTTCGGACTGGGACTGCCAGGAACAGCAAAGAGCAGAGCAGAAGCTGGAAGTAAAGGACACCCACAGCCCCCAAAAGCAGCCGGAAGTTCCAGAGCACCTTTGGTGCCTACACACGATCCCGCACTACCTCCCACCACAGCATCACCCACCTGCCCAGCGTTAAGCCAACATCCGCAACTCGGGATCGCTCAGCATCCAGCTCGGGAGTCCTCGGGAAAACCGGCAGGGGACATGGAGCCGCAGCCAAGCCCTCACACAATGGGTAACACGCCTAACAGGAAAGAGCAGCCTCAGCGCTGGGCAGGCTGCCGGGACACCCTCGGGGCGGTCACTTCGCAGTACCTCCAGTCCTCCCCACCGTTCCCAGCACCGCCGCCACAGCCCGCACCGCTTCACTTCTTGTTCCCCGGTGTCCCCGGCACAGCAGGCCTCGGCGCGTTCCCCCCGCAGCCCGCAGAGCCGCGG